AATGTATTAAATATTATTTTTTGCTCACATAAAATCACAATAAAATCATAAACTGTCTTACCTATGTATTATATACATGAAAAAACTATTAAGTAATCATAATACTATTTTTATAAGAATGCATTATTTAATGGCAATATAATAAAACGGGTTAAATTTTGTTTAAAAAGAAGCGAATATTTCACACGTATAGTATGCGAAGGTGAAATAAAACTAATAAAATAATATATTAAATAATTTAAACATACAGTAGGTTACAATTAATTATTATAAAAGGCACTTTTAAACCGTGATCTATATAGTACCTATTGTGGCCTATGCTCATAGAAAAGCAACGTGTCTTTTAAAATCAAATAGATATGGTATTTTTTCTGTTCACCACATCTTTTATGGATAACTGCTTATTTTTAAAAGATACATTATTTTTCTGTAAATCAAGGCCTAAGGATATATTTAAAAGGCTTGCGTAGTTACCTTAAAAAATATGTTTTATATTACTGCACTAGTACATATAATTTAAAGTTTTTTAATAAATCCTCATCATCATACTTATACATTATTCAGCAAGAAAATTATATTGTTTTAGATGAATAAAGAGATGGATAAAAGTTTGAATAATTTAATATTTAAATTCAAACAAAGTAATTCGAAGGTTAGAAATAATTTGACAAGGTACTTCAAATTGGAAAAAAAAATTTCATAAGATTTTAAATTATATTTTATAAAAAATTATAGGATATCTACGGAGGTCTTTTAAATATCCTTAAATTTATAACTAGGGTCACATCAAAATAAAATATATTTAATCATAATATAAAATAGAAACATCGATACAAATTACTTTATACACCATCAAATCCTTATGTGCATTCGCAGATTTATTTATTTATTTATTTATTTTCTGAAATACCATCGGCATATTCACAAACTATATGTTGAAAAAAAAAATATTAAAAAAATAAACTTGTTCGGTGTGATACACCATTACAGGTATTTACATTATTGCTTACATTATAACAAAAGAACTAAGGGTAAGGTAAAAACTACACAAGAAATTTAAAGAATATTACAATAAAATAACATATCAATAAAAAAAAATAAAACTAAGATAAAATATCAATTACTAACTAAAACAAACAAAATAAGCTAACAAACATATAAATATCAATTATCAACTAAAACAGTATTAATTATTTTTTTAAAACTATTATTACTTTGGCTGTATATGTCGACGACATGGGAATCAATTTGATTGTAGGTCCTCATGCAACGAATTAAAGGTGAAAATTTTCCGACATTTGTGCGAAATCTTGGAATGGCGAAGGTGCTTTTAATTGGATATCTAGGAATGGTTTTCGGAACATATAAATTTATTTGAGAAAGTAGCTTTGAAGAATCTACTGAGTTGTGAATGAGCTTATGTAAAAACATTAAGTCATTCAGAGACCGCCGTTTCTCCAATGTATCTAGCTTGAAATATTTCAAACGTGTTGCATAGTCTGCCCGATATGGACAGTGCCTGTCTTTATATGCTAAAAATCTTGTAAAACCCTGTTGAATTTTTTCAAGACGACTTTTGTAAATTTTGTAACTTGGGCTCCAAACTGGTGATGCATATTCTAAAACACTACGAATTAGGGAACGATACAACGTTATAATAGCTTGAATATTTTTAAAGTCACGACATGTTCTTTTAATAAAACCAACGAGTTTCAAGGATTTTTCTATAATTTTGTTGATATGATTACTTAACTGTAATTTTTTGTCAATAACTACGCCCAAATCTCGGACCTCTTCAACTTCCGCTAATTCTTTATTGTTAATAGTGTAGTTATATGAAATTATGTTTCTGTTTTTAGTGAATCTGATATACTGACATTTGTTTGCATTGAGTATCATTTTATTGTTATTGCACCACTGTTGTACTGAATTTAAATCGCGTTGCAGAAGTTCTGCATCGTGAATAGTTTTAATTGGCCTGTATAACTTTAAATCGTCAGCGAAAATTGAATATTCACTATGATAAATGTAGTTCTCGATATCGTTAATAAAAAATAAAAATAATATGGGGCCGAGATGGGAACCTTGCGGGACACCAGAATGCGCTACAAATGATTTAGATTTGAAACCGTTTATAACTACTTGTTGTAATCTGTTTTTCAAGTAAGACTTTAACCAACGCAGTAAATCCCCATGTATTCCGTAATGTTTTAGTTTCTGCAATAAGATAGTGTGATCAACCTTGTCAAAAGCACTACTAAAATCAGTATAAATTGCATCAACCTGGATACCATTATCAACGTGATTAGAGATATCTGATACATAACTAACTAAATTACTTACAGTTGATTTGTTTTTACAGAAACCGTGTTGATTTGCCGAGAAAACTTTTGAACTATACTTAGTGATTATTTGGCATATAATACGCTCAAATACCTTTGCAAAATGACTTAAGATGGATATAGGTCTATAATTATCTACTAAATTTCTATCGCCTTTCTTATATATGGGAACAACATTAGCAATTTTCCAAACTGACGGAAATACTCCGGTTCTGAAAGATGTTTCGAAAATTAGTTTTAATGGCAACGTAATATTGTTGTAGGTCATTTTAATAAAAATGGATGGAATTCCATCAGGGCCGGCTCCTTTACTAGGGTCAATAGATTTCAATATTTTTTTAATCGAACATTCATCAAACTGAACAGAGCTCAAAGAAAATTGGTGGTATGTGTTATTAGATGAAAGAGGTAAATTGTAAAAACTGTTATAATTATCTTGTATAAACATGGACGCAAATTTCATTCTGAAAAGGTTACAAATTTCTTCTCCAGTTTCAGCAACAAACGTACTATCTGCTTTTGCGTACTTCATTTCTTTGGGAATACTTGAAGAGTTCCCACGTGTAGCTTTAATGAAGGACCAAAACCGAGCAGAGTTTTTGCAAACTGCATTTTCAATACCTTCTTTATAACTGGCATAACAACTATTCGTAACCCTAGTAACACGAGATTTTAAACACTTAAGTTCTAAAAGATCTCTTGGATTGTTATATTTTTTGCATTTGGTTCTGATTTTTTCTTTTTTCAGCTATGATTTTTAATAAGCTGGATGAGAACCAAGCAGGATATTTTTGATTTCTAGGTTTTGTCTTAGGTATATAATTATTAATAATTGTTTTTAAAATATTATAAAAAATTGAAACCATGCCATCGACATCACCCGCAGCTGATCGAAGCTCTGATTCCCAATCAATCGATTTGAGTTTATCGTTAAGTAAAGCGTAGTCAGCTTTTTTAAAATTATGTGTAGCAAAAGGTTTGTCAATTAATGTACATGTATTATGAAATTTCAGTTGAATTTCTATTGGTGGGTGATGAGAATCGACTTTTGTAAATATATCAGAGCTGCTATCAACTGTAATACCTGGAAAATTTGCAAAAACTAAGTCGAGTATTCTACTATTACTATTTTTAACGTTATTAAATTGCGATAGATGGTTTAACGCCATGAAATCTTCTAACAGATATCCTAAGTATTTAGTATTATTATTTGGTTTTAACAATCCATCCTTGTGACTAGGAGCCCAATCAATAAAACCTAAATTAAAATCACCTAATATAATCGTTTCACATAAATTACTTTCCATTACTCTGCTTATATTGTTAAACATATTTTCTAATGTATCGGGAGATACAGGTGGTGGTAGGTAAACTATACAGAACAAAACGTTTTTAGTTATTCCACTCTCACTTAAACGAACGGAAATCCATAAGTCCTCGTTTTTACTTTCAAGATGTCTTACGCGTTTTGATTGTAAACTACTTGATACTCCAAATAAAACGCCGCCTCCTTTTTTCCCAACCAATGATGTGGTGCACCTATCTCTTCTATAAATCGTATAATTTTGGTTTAAAATTTCATTGTCATCTATGGAATCATCGAGCCAAGTCTCTGTTGCAGCAATAATATCATAATCACATGTTAGTGAAGCTAGTTTTATTTCTTGTAATTTGGTTTTCAAACCACGGACGTTTTGATAGTATATATTGAATTTTATTATGGTAATATACGGACTAATATATAACGGTGTTTTATGATGTTTCAAATATTTTCTAATGCTTCAATGTGTCGTATCTGCTTCGCTGGAGATGTATCATTTTTGCGGACAAAGATACGCCCATTTCGGATCCACACATATGTAACACCTTTTTCACGAGCTGCTTGTCTAGTACGGGCATACAAATATTTGAGTTGGGGTGATAAATGTTCCGAAACGTAGATAGGTGTTTTCTTGGTGCCAAAACCGAGATGGCCGGTGTGTAATTTATTTTCTCGGTTTGATTTATTAAATTTAGAAACTGCGGCTAAAACTTCGTCTCTGGCTCTGGTACTAATAAGCTATAATATAATATAATATTATATTATTCTATCTATATCTTTACCAAAATTCGTATAACTGGGATATATTTAAGCAGTTTATTACTTTTCACTAAGTAGAAACTATCTTTAGAAAATTGCAACAGATTATTCAATGTAACTTATAACAGTCAAAGTTTATAATAATTATATTAAGATATTATTCATTATAATATATTTCAATACAATATATGATATACAGCAAATGGTCCAGTAATATTGTAAATTCATTTATATTCATAAAAGCTAAATATATTTTAACATAGAACAACTGATTACGACAAAAGAGCTATTCAATATGTATAAATAGGGAAAATACTGTACTTTAATTATCTTATATTATTATTACACTATCAAATCTTCTCAAAAATTGGCACATACATCTAATCTTATTAATAAGATATATTCTTTGGCATTGATATATAATAAATTCAAACGCCATCTTGTGTTACCTAATTTCGACGTAAATTATGAACACTTTGTAATATATTTACAAACGTCATCATGTGCAAAATGGCGTCCGTCTAGAGTGACCCGTGTTCAACTGTCCATTACACAAACACGGGTCCTTCACTTTCCACTCACAGGACGTTCAAATTTTCACAGTTTTTGAACTTTGAATCTTCCTTACCAAATATCCACGTCAGCATTTGTCTGGCTTTCATACTTGCTCGTACTACACCCCTTGATTTATACCAATGTGCCGGCGAGGATTCCCTGCCACCCTCCGCTGAATACTGCTGTTTTTTAAGACGAATCTGATTTAAAATACCCACCAAAAGTTCGTCGACGTTGTGATTGATGCCAACCGAGACTTCTATGAACTTTGCTTTATAAGTACAAGCCAGGCACTTCCCATCTGTGAATGTAGAAATGAATTAGTTTTTTATATAAAAGCCGTAAGATTCAAATTATATCCAACGAAAAAAATACAAATTTGAATACACCAGTTTATACCAAAGATTAAAGACTAAAGTCCCATTATTCTGTTTCACAAAAAGATATACCAAGCATGATGAAAGGACGAAAGACGTTCTAATCATTCTGATGTTAATTAATTTGTAAGACGAAATATATTTTATTTTACAAAGATCCATTAGGCTGTTAGAAGAGCTTCGCTGTTTATTTTGTTTGAAAATAAAAGTATATATTCAATTGGGTTTCATTCACCAGCTGTTTCAAATTATTTTTATGAAATATTTAATATAAATTTATGCTCACTCTTAAAATACATAAAGAATCCAATTTGTGTAAAAGTACAAAAGCTTCTTTCTCTTTAATAACATTATTAGCATAATGAAGAAATATCAAGGTCGGGACATAAATCAATTTGCTTCGATAATAGGGATAATTAAATTAAGGTTTCGGTTCATGTAAGTCCCTAAAGCTCTTTAATGTAAGATTATTCAGGAGCATTTATGAGTCGGTAGATTGTTTTGAGGCTTTTACGACTCGGTAAATTAGGCTGTCATTTTCAGATACGAAATTATTTGTAATAAAACGTAATTCAAAACTCGGTTCTGACCACTCATCCTGTTTTACAACCTTCCTTATTAACCTACTTGAAAAAGTGAGGGGATTTCTTAATTCAATGCTCGCAACTCCTTTCGTTACGAATGGTTTTATTTATTCTATTTATGTCGAAAATAGGGAAACCTGAATCTGGTGTTGGCATTCAAGAGAAAACAAGGAGAACCTTCGAAAATCGTCGCTAATTTGGAAATCTCGTCATTGCCTTACTCCTTTATTTTCCTGTTACTTCCTGTATTTCAAATTATCTTAAGTTAAGTATATTATTTAAACAGATTCAGCAGTTTTTAAGTTTATTCCGTCTCGAGTAGCGATCATCTCATTAGAGAAGCATCCTTGTCTATCTATCACAAAAAAAAATGTAAAATAAAAATTACTTTAATAAAAAAGGAAGGAATCAAATTGTAAACTCTAAAATATAAATTAAATTTGACTATAACAAAGTACATAATACGTATTGTGATTTTATTACGTAAAATTTATTAAACAATTATTTTTTAATTTTAAAGGCGGTGCCGAATAAGGTAACTTTGTGAAAAAGCTAACTTTATTTTCACCTTTAATTTTCCTATTTAAATCCGTTGTTATCACTAATTTTTTTTATCTTTTACTTAAATTGATTTTTTGCTAATAAATAAATTCTTTAGTTCATATTTTTTTAATATCAGTAATTTATCATGTACGAGATCTGGTAATTTAAGCCTTTTATGATGTCCAGATTCGTTACGCATACATTTTGTATGAAGAGAGGTCATATAGATTACCATCAAACCCATAAAAAATGTTAATTTAATAGGATTGCAACTTACAACTAATGAATTAGATAAATTTATAATTATTTTAATCTAATATTATTTTTAATTCAATTAATTACTTTTGAGCACCTGTCAGTTTTTCTTTGAGCACCTGTCAGTTTTTCTTTGACTTTCTCTATAAAAATTCTGATTAATCTAAATAAAAATTTCAATTATAATTATTTTACTAAAGAAGAAAAACCACAGTGAGACAGAACTTATATCAGTGAAGTTAATCTCGTGTATGTAAATCACAAAGCCACATTAAAACAGTGTGGTGAATTAAGCTGTAAGCTTGTTTAATATTTATAATATAATATGTAAGAGTGAACACACTATTAGACTCGACGTTTCAATGTACTAACCCTGTGTAGATACAGCCCGACTTCTGGCTAAGTCTATTTTATTTCCCACCAGTAAAGCCGGTCGCGATCTTAGCATGTCGCAGTCAAGTAATCTGGCCAATTCTTGTTCTGCTCGTTGGAATGAGGCCTTGTCAACTACGGAGTAGATCACCACAAAAGCGTCTGGTGGCTCAGAACGGTCTATTTCATCCTGCGATTGTAGAAAAAAACATTTAGTATAGTATAAAAAATAAAAAGAACAAGTCATTTTTATGATTAAAGTAATTTTTTAGCTATTACGATTTTGCCTTTCACTACTGTTGGGAATTTTAATACAAGTTGTACCTTAGTGTTTGTGCAATTGACGAAATATAGTTCGGATTCTTCCCCATTCAACAATATGGAAACCTTTTGTTCTGTGCTATCGATATCTGTAAGAAAAATTTAAACTTCACTTTAAGTCGAATTTATTTCTTTATACACATTGTATAACAGAAGAGAATTGTTATTATAAACATGTATAATTTATTAGAGAATAAATCCCAAAGAAAAAAATCTGATTCTATGACGAAATTCTTTATAAAAAGCAATCCCCTATAAAGAGTGTTTGTATATGAAATGCAGTCTTTTAACTTCAACTGAATTCTACTAAGTTAACTTGCATAATCCAATTAAATACCGGGCCAGAAAAAGCTTAATATGAAATGCTTTTGTAAATACGAATAATAACACCGTGGAAAAATTTATGTTAGTAAAATTGTAGCTTTACTCTCCTCTAGCTACTTTAAAGAGTTTCATTCAATAAGGATGTCGAGTGAGCCACTACAGTTTTCATTACTATTTGAAAGTAAATTCTAGTTTACAGAATTTTAACACGAATACCGCCAGTGTAAACAAAATTAATGTTATGATTTCAACTTGAAAGTTCCGCTTTAGTTTTAATATTACCAACATTTAATTTCTCTTATTCAGTAGCCATTAATGTTAAAATATCTTAATTTTTACTTCAAAAGAAAGATTTAAAAATGTTCGTGGATATAAACCAGAAATATAATCTCATTATAAAATCAGCTAAGTAATTGATATAAATCTTTAAACTCCACTTTATACGATTTTAAGTTTAGATATACTTTCAGAAAAAGGTCTATTAATGGCAAAAGAAATTAATTTCTTGGGTTAATATATTATCTTACTATATTAACCTATATTAACTAAGTCAGTGGTGGCTCAGTGGTTAAAGGGCCCACCTCTCGTTGCCGAGGGCGCGTGTTCGATCCTGGCCCGGGCAAGTACCAATGTGATTTTTCCGAATCATATGTACTTTCTAAGAGTATTTAGACATCACTGATTAATGTTGATTCCCAAAAGTGGGTTGATGTCAGGCAGGCGGCCGGTCGTAGAAACAAATAGCCAAAAAACTATTCACAACATGTAAGGCAGACCCTGGCTATAGCTGGGAAATTGCCAGGTTAGAAGAACAATATTATCTTACTCAATTTCCTTTGTAATACCGTATAATATAATCCAATTGAAAATATTAAAAGGCAATATTTTACGGTAGAAATAGTGACCGTAAAAATATTAAGTTTGTCGCGACTGTGAGTTTGATTCATGAATTTATTAATTGTAATTGATTAATAGATGTGGATAATTTAAGACCTATAAAAGTGATCATACTAATGGCGTTAATAAAAATACTACCTTCGAACGAATAACACAATAGTTTTTAAAAGGAATATTTTCCTTTACGTAACTTTGGTTTCTGGAATATCGAATATTACTTTGTTACTATAACATAATAATATATATAATATATGTACAAAAAAATAGACTTCACCAATCAAAACTATTGTTATTCATTCAGGCATATATAAATCGTAAATTAATCAAATAACTCTTTGTATTTATCGAATATATTTTGAAATGTATGTTCAATTCTATTCTATTGTACGTTATTACAAGTTTCCTCGTTAATGTTGAAACAATAGCTTGTTTTCTGCTCTACAAAACTTTACTCTGGTAAAGGTATTACTATGCCAGATGCCATGGATGTTACGAACGAGCCGACGTACGCAATCAGCTATTGTTTCGCACGAGAGTCTCAGGAAAACTTGTCTAAATTACTCAGCTTTACCAATTTATACTTTCCCCAACTAACATCACACTTCAACACATATGTTATTCTTATAATCAAAATAATATGTTAAGTTAAACGTGGAATTATGTTCTTAATAATTGATAATATTCTATAAAAGTAATATTTAATTATATTATAATTCTTTATTGAAGAAAATATTAAGCTTATAAGTGTTTAATAAAACAATAATATTTACCTAAAGATATATGAAATCTTGAATTTTTGTAAATATCGTTATATTTCTTTGTAAATATAGTATATAACAGTGGAATAATTTAATTTTTGTGGTAAATATAGGCTATATATTTTAGCTACAAACGATTTCATGACGTCATTAAAACGCTTCCAGCCCCTAAAATCCCAACAAGTCCCATGCCTGTCGGTCATGTTTCCTGTACGGTTAACCGCTTTCATGACGAATACAACCGAAATTAAGGCCTTTGTGAACCCAAAGTTGCCCTATCAACGCCAAACATGATTGATCTAGAAGCTTACAAGGTAATGGCTGTGTTTGATGTGTGGATCATCTTTTATATAATATTATATGAAGACTTACTTTGCTTGGAACTTCGAAGTGTCATTATGTATTATAACTCGAATTGAGCTATTAAATTATTCAAAGTGTTATCCAGAAGGGACTAGAATTCCCGTTTAGTCCGAAATCAAGTTAATAGGATTAAATTAATTTTGAATCAATTTTCTCTTTGACTGAAAAATAATATGCTACAGCGAATTTTATTGCACAAAATAGGAATATGTAATGATTTTAAGGAGTATTTTCTAAACCAATTTAAGAAATATATGAAGCAGTTTTACATGAAAAAGCCGTTGGTAATAAATGGTAATCTAAGTGAAAATATGGAGTGATAAAGCATTTTTAGGACTCCGTCGGTATAATACGAAGTAATGAGAGTGAAACAAGATTATAAAAAATTATACAGGCTCAAGGTTTTTGAAACTCACCTCCAATAACACAGATAAAAAAGAGAATTTTATATGAAATTAATTTATTTTCTAGTTTAAGTCTTATAAAAAATTTGCATTATTATTTACTATAATACAATACAAAGAACTGTTGAGAAGATTCTAACAAACTATGCTCATTTGAACGTCATTTAATGTGGCATTTTATATAAATTTGTTTGTAAATGGAGAAGAAAGTTTAGTTTCGCTTTGAGCATACAATTTTAATCATCCAATCTAGTCAAGAATTTAATTTAAGATCGAATAAACTTAAAGCATTCGTCTGGAAAACTATTTGTTATCAAATAACAAGATGTAGTGATTGAACATTTGTTTTAATATAAACTTCTTATGTACAATTGTTCTCCTTATATCAGTTATAAAAGGTTTTATTACGATATATTACATATATTTAGATGGGTATGTGTGTGTGCGTGTGTGTGTATGTGTATGTAATACTTATATAATATCGTATCAAATCATACAGTTTTTAATAATAACAATAATAAATATTTATTGCATGTTTGTGTTGCGTGTGGCTCTTGCGTTGATTACGATCAATTACAATAAATCGGACCTTTTAAGATTATTTTTGTTTAAGCCTGAGGTTGAAGGTTTTTCCTAAATGACGTGTCATTAAATAACCTAATATTATTTAATTCTAAAGAGTTAAATGATTTTTTCACGCTATTACTCTTATCATATTATAGACTGGAAGTAATTGTGACTTGCTTTTCCTGAAGTAGACATGTTTCCCATACGTTTATTTCAGTCAAAACTTAGAAGTCTAATTTATAAACATTTTACACTGAATAAATTTACTATTGTATAAGTCCAACGACTACGTTATATTTGATTTTTAACAAATATAAGTCGTGACGTCAGCAATGCTGCCTTCACTATCACTATCTTCAACAGACGGATAACCTCTTTCCATATTTCATTTAACTAATTAAGGCCTCACAAACATTTGCTCTAATTTATTTTAGACTTCGAATTGCACTTTCAGTTAAATAATCTTCCTCCTGGATGGCTCTCACACTAATGTCTTATCCACAAACGTTTCCGAATATAAATGGTTTTTGTGAAATCATTACATTTACTCTTTTAATTTTAATTATTAAGATATAACGAATAATCTTAGTAATTCAAATAAACACAAAACATTACATAAGTTTTAGTAATCAAATATTAAATCATCCAATATTTATATTACAATTTAATGTTTTATATAAAACATACTTTTTTTTGTTACTGCTAAGGTTTGACTAATCTTCATATATTACAAATCACGATACCAATAACATTAACTGTTCTTCAATACATATAATTCAACGATTTCTAGAATAAATATTTTTTTTTAAGATATCACTAACGCCATTGCGTTCGTGATTTGATTATGTCACATCTGCCATCTAAAGTAAAATACTTATCAAACAACTATTCCTTATAATGGATTTAAATGACATACACAATACACTATTTTTTGTTTCAATCAAACAATGTAAAACATCGTTTTTCATTTCTTCTAAAGTTTACACAGATTATAGGTAACATATTTAAAATTTAAACCGTATATAAATTATAAAATCTAAATATATATTTCTTAATATGTTTTATATATTTTTTTACAATATCCTCAACACCTCTATCTTATCTAAATCCATTTAGAACGACGTTTCTTAAAGTAAAATATATTGCCACTGAAATTCTATGTGAATGCAGTATTTCATAACAACCGTTTGAAGATAACTCCGTCGAAATTCAACTCAGGATTTTGCCGGAATATATAGAAATAGACATATATCGTATTTGACAAATTTGAGTCAATACTAATAAAATATTAAATTTGATTTCATTACAATACATTTTTAATTCTTATACATTACAAATAAAAATCATTCAATACTTTATTTACTCCTTCATTCAGAGCAAATAAAATAAAAGAAAATGTATTCATACTTAACTCTGTATTATATGGTTCTTAAGGAATACTTTTTTTATTGTTCATGCAAGCATTGAATACAAATGATACATCTGAATATTGTAGAACTAGTTATTTAAATGAACCAATAAAATATAAGTAAAGAAAAGATCGTATAAATATTGTATTAGTTCTAACTATTGCTTTGAATTAATCAATATTATTTACCTAAACAATAAAAATGGTAGTACTTTATTTCACTATAGAGCAATGTGTGTTTAAATGGAATTATGACGAAGCTAGTTGATAGAGAATTCTTCAACAAGTTATTGAACAACTGACAATGTTCTGACCATATTGGCAATTGTGGACTATAGAAATGTATGAAAACCTTATTCAGGTTAAAG